GTGAGGGTATTCATGCGGGTTCCCGTGTGTGTGTGTGTGTGTGTGTGTGTGTGTGTGTGTGTGTGTGTACGTACGTGAGAGAGAGGACTGTTTTATGCTTGTCTGTGTTAAAGCTGCTAATGAGAGCCAGAGGAGGTCAGATCCTCATGAATGCTCTTTTAAACTACATATAAATACTAATTGTGTGTGACTGTGTGTGTGCACACATATAAGCATAGAAAGCTAGACAAGGAATAAATGTGTGCGTCTCTGTCCTCTCGTCTCTGAACTCGCCAGCCCCACCCGTTTCTCTGTGGGCCCCCTGCTCAACTAATCACCCTGCCAGGGAATCGGAGCTGTAGCTAATGGGGGCCTGTCTGTCAGGAGGACGGCCTTGTCAGAGAGGCATGTTTTCAGCATGGCACACTGACTCAAATGAGCCATCTGGGAGGAAAAAGAGGAAAGCAGAGAAAATTAAAGAACAATTGGGGAGGCCAAAAGGTGATTGTGCTGCAGCATGTCACATAGACACAGGGGGGCACATATTAATCTGCACAAAAATCAAAAAAGCATTTGTTTATAAGATCCTGACCTTTCAAAAGGAATCATGGTGTCAGCAAATGAATAGCTAGTTAATCAGTTAGTTGATCAACAGAAAATGAATCTGCAGCTTTTGATAATTGATACATTCAGTCATTTTTCAAGTAAAAATGTACTGTGTCACATTAAAGTGAATATCTTCTGGATTTGGGACTAGTGGTCAAAAAAACATGAAAAAAGCTGTTGGAAATTTGTACAATTTTATTGTCAGATTAAATGGAAATATATAAGATCTTTTGTAGCATTTGTCTGTCAATTGATTTCAAGAGCTGTTTTTGAAATAACTGGAGACTGGTTATGAATTACAGATGAAGCAGGCTGTGAACTCGTTATCAGTAAATTCACATAAGCAACAGTGGGAACTGTCTAACCTTTGAGGTGTCTCACTAGCTATCCTGTTACACTTACTGGTTCCCACAGGCTTCCACCTCTCTACATCCTGGTCAGGAATTCCAGTTTGTCGGCACCAGTTGGGGAGTGTCCAGTTGCCCCTTCAAACTGCGTCCAGATCCTGATTTAGGTTCATATTATTAAGATTCCTACTGCAGTGAATAGGCAATAGATTTACATGTCTTATTAGCCTGAATTTCTTACAGATGAAAATAAAGATGAAATAAAGTGTGTATTGTCATGATTATAAGACAGAACTGGCCAGTTACAGACCATTCAACGAATTCTCAGTGTTGATACTGTGCATGACCACTAGATTGCCCGCTTTTACTTCCTGACTGGGACATTTACCCTTTGACCTGTACCATAATTTGTTGTGGGTCATGTTGATGTGTGAGCATGTTCTTCCTACCTTTTTTTTGTGATCTCTCTGTCTCTCTCTGGGCCCACCAGGACAGACAGCCCAGTGTCCACTTTCAAAGGCTCCTTGTGTTGTTTCTAGGGGTTAGGTAGACCATGGGGGCCTGGGAAGCATTTATGTGGAACCCTGGCTCATTCACATTCCCTCAAGACGCAGCGAGAAGTTCTTCCAACTTTCAGTCGTTATTAGTCACACCTCTGTCTGGCGTGTCATCGAAGTTCATGAGGTGGAATACTGATTGCACTGGGGCTTTATGTTCGGAACACTCAATCCTGAAATCATTATATTAAATATTACATTAATACTTTAACAAAGACAGTAATTCATGATTTTCTAGCCAACAAATTATGTTGGCTATAATCATGCAGCCGCACAATTGTGACTGAAAATTCTGTGCTTTTCGGCAGGCGGGTTAGCATAGCAGCACATACCAGCATCAGCAACAACACCTTTGTCTGAATATTGATATATATGAAGTGAATATATTTAGGTTTGGACCTACAGATTGACCAAAACAAGCAGTTTGAAAGCATCTTATTGGGCTCTAGTTGGGGCTGTTTTGTAGTTATAGTCTAATATTGTTTTTTGAGCATTGAATTAATCAGGAGCATAATCAACTGTTTAAATGTTGGTAAAAATAAACATTAGTTGCAGCTCTGTATTAAAATGACGATTGCTTAAACATGTATTCTAAAGTGCAGATGCCACATGGCAGAATATTATCTTGTGTGGTGTAACAGAGAGGAAAGGAGTGTGATCAGAAAAAGGAAGAAGAGCCTCATCTGTCTGTCCATGCTCGAGAGGATAAAGGCTATAGAGGAGAGGCTCTGGAGGAGCTGGCGGGTGGTTAACGATGATTTATGAGAGCCCAATCCATTACTCTGTCTGGTCTCACATATGTTGGATCAGGTATCTCATTGGACATTTAGAGGCCACAGAAGGTTTCTCTGTGGGTTTGAAGTGGACATGGCTCCACCATGGGAACTGTGTGTGAGAGAGATGTTCCTTTGATTTCTTTAGAATACAGTATGTGTGTATGTCCATCTTTATTGTGGCTGAAAGAGACTCGTGTAGTCTTTTTTTTGTACCTGAGGTGCTGCTTGTCTATCAAGCTCTCACATACGTATTCACCAGCAGACTCCTACTATATGAATATTCAGTGCATCTTGAATAAGATGCTGTTTACTCTTTAGACCATTTCTGACAATCCCTTGAGAGGTTTTCCATGGATGAGGACAGCAGTACTATACACCCTGTAACATGCAGGGCATTACTTTGTCTTATTAATACATCTTTGAAAGAAAATCCTGACTGGAAAAACTGATGGACATCAATTTAAACCAAAGTGAATTTTTGTTTGTTTGTTTGTATTTTCCATATTTGTTGCATTGTGTGTTTGCCTGTGATTCTTACACTGACACATTTTTGCATGTTCAGCTGATCTGCCTTGCTTATACCAGTAAAGGAACAAACGCAGTGACAGCAGCCTTCATTTTTAAATTAGTCAAGTATACAGTCAAGGAAGCCATTATTTTGCATCATTTTGGCTGTATCATACTAATTCAGAGGTTTGCTACTCTCTGCCCCCCTGTCAGACTGCCAGTCGTCTGTGGCTCTGCAGGTTCTGACTGCGCGCTGTCAGGGCAAGAAGAGCTGTCTGGTTCAAGCCTCCACCAGAGACTTTGGAGATCCGTGTTACTCGGGAACCAGGAAGTACCTCAGTGTCATCTACACCTGTGGTGAGTCCCAACATACCCTTACTGTGGGTTCATTCTCATGCCACCAGGGGGCGATATTTGATCTGCTTCTCTTCTGTCTTGGTTTAGATGTGTAAGTTACTAGCCATAGCTATCTCTGGTATACTCGGAGAAGAATTACGTCTACTGGGGGGTTAAACTATTAGTCATTTTTTTGTTAGGTGGTGGTAGGACCATCATGTAAAATGTTCAAAGCTCAACTCATTTTCACAACCACAATATGTTGGTTTGTTTTTATCTGGCATCCTCTCTTCTGTTTGTGACTTTGCTTGTGCGGATGGAGGGAGATTGATGGTCTTCTGTTTCCCACCCCTGGGCTAATCCTGTACTGTCAAGGCTGTAATTCATTAACCACAACCTAGGACATACATAGACACACACATGCTATCCATTCGCCTCTAGCACCAGGAACTGATCAATTAGCACCGTGGCCTGGAGCCTCTAAAACCCACCAACACCACTGGCATTTGAGATCCACAGCCTGACTTGGAAGACTGTTACGCATTGCATTTTAGTGTCATTTTTGAGTTCTGATTTTGAAGACAGGATTTTATGAGATTGATGCTTGACCACATGAATTGACAATAAAAATCTTGAAACCTTTGATCTTGATCTTGAAATTAAATGTAGTCTGAACTGCATTTCCCAGCAGCTCTTTTAAATGCTTCTTTTCCCTGGGTATAAGTCTGCATCCTGAAGTTCAGATCAGAATTTCTGGCTTGTTTATTGTCTGGTTTTGTTGAAGATTCACCGCCCTCTGTCTCCAAATGCTGTGATTGTCAGATATTTCTCAAAGAATCCATTCATCCTTTATCTCAGAAATACCTGGCCCTTGTAGGCAAGCATACACAGAGTGTTCAGCCATGTTTATGGAGTCTCGAATCGCTGCTGACCTCCCTTATCTGTCACCGATAACACATCGTGCTCTAGTAATGGCTGTGGTGCTGAGTCGCTTCGGTGAGTGTGTTTGTGAGGAAGAGGCAGGGTGTCAGACACAGCAGAGAGAGGATGTGGGACAATGTAAATGTTCAACAGATAGAGCTGGGGAGGTTAGGAGGTGGGTTTGTTGCGCTGCGATGAGAGTCAAACGTGAGCGTATCAGTCTAGCTGCTATAGACATGAAGTCACTGGTTGCTCCAGTAAAGCGGTAATTTTAGGGGATCCTCTTTCACTGGTGGTTGAGTGTGTGTGGGACCGACATTTGTGTCAGAGGAGGGAATGGAGGATGTCTGTCTGCACATGGTTGTTAGCATTTTTGTGCACATCTGTGCATGGTGGTCTGAACTGCGTTTTGCTACAGCTGAAAAAAGTGGCATCTACTTTCACAAAGCGATTGGTTTGAAACTTATCAGTACCTTATGATAGATAGTAAATGAGTAAACAAATAAAGAGTCATGAATGGCAGAATTTTATGGACTTATATTACTGATTTGTTTACCTGCTCCTATTTTAGGACCTGTACAACCTGCCAAGCATAGAATAATGAAGCAAACAGGTATTTGTGTGTATGAGAATTTATGGAATTTAGCATTGGGGTGTACGCACACAGGCACAGACATGAGTGTATGTTTGATTCATAGTATGGACTCACTATCAGCCTCAGTGTGCCTGTGATCTGTAAAGCCATCGACCCTCTGAGTCCCAGCCTCCTCCTCATGCAGCCCTAGGGGTGGACCTACTCTTTAGTGGTAACACAGCAGCAAATGGCCTGGAACCTGCCATCAGTCTCCCAACAGATCACACACACACACACACACACACACACACACACACACACACACACACACTGCACATCACCCTCCCCCCCCCCCCCCCCCAGCCACTGTCAGGCTTCATTAACGTCCACTCTTCCAAGGAGGAAGTCCCCATGGCTTGTTTATGTGTTTAAAAAATACTTTGAGATTGTAGATTAACTGCAGCTCTGAATATTTGACTTTTTAAAATGTTAAGAAGATTAAGGTATAAAATACATTTGTAGCAATGAATTCTGTCCTGCAAATTATTCATAGCCTAACCCTCAGTGCAACTGTTAAAGATTGATGAATGAGCCTGCTCGGGGCGCTTTCTTCAAAAAGCTGGGTTCCTATATGGCCCCTTTGAAGTTTCTTTCTTGTAATTTTGTGTTGGTTACTTTGTCAGGGTTTGACCTGTGCCTTCTGAAGACGGAAGGAGAAAAAACTGCCTCTTTTGAACATGCATCCATCTGTATATTTGATTAAAAAGTGCAGGAGAAAGTGCCGGCTTTTTGGACATGTGTTGGTGTAAAAGTTGTTTATGCAGCTTGCTCAACCAGATTTCCAAGGCCTGTCCTGCCTCCCCATACCATCGTTTTGCCAACATCCTTCCTCTGTCATGTGAATGTAGAGAGACAGCCTATGGACATCTTGCATTTGTGTGTGTGTGTCTTTGTACCATGACGGACAGTGATAACTTAAAACTACATTTAACAAAATATGATTTATATATGTCCATGCTGATCAAATCATATCCAGAAGAATCTTTTTATTTTCTTCCCCTCCTCCTTCCTGTGTCAGTCTCAGGCTAAGGCCTCCTCACCCAGAGCAGCTTTTGTCCTCCCCTGAGAGGTATTAAAGCTTCAAAATTTATATGAAGATGAGGAGGCCTCTCTCCTAAACTTCAGATTACCCCTGAAGAGTGTCCACTGTAGTGCAATAGATCATCTTGAACAAGCCACACAGCCTTTTTTTGAACCACACAGAGCAAACTCAGCCGGGGAGATATTGCGTTATGTTATGGACGTGGAAATTCTGTATGAACGGATCTAATTGCTGAGGAGGAAATGGATTAATTGTGGTACTTAGTTGGCGGGATCTGGGGTTGGAGCAGGGGGGCTCAGTGGACCAGACTTGAGGCATTTCCAACCCTGGGGGGCTGAAACCTCAAAATGGAAATAGGATCCCCTAAAAAAAAATCCACATGAAAGTATAATACATCTGTTATTATTCTGTATGTTTTTTTCAGATATAGGACTGCCACTACTCTTTTTGGACCAGATGAAGTTATGAAACTATGCAGTTAAACAGATTTTCCCCTTACTGGCTCAACCATTACTAGTTTAAAATGGAAAGCTTCTTCAAAACAGTCTCACCTCATGGTCCAAATCTGGAGTTTTCAATCACAATCTTTATCAGCAGATAGATTTTGCCTAGATGTAATGGAAAAAGGTAGAAACTCAAATTTCCTTTTTTTTTGGTCACTTAAAGAACCTTAGAATAAGCAGCTGACACACTGTACAAAATAATATCTGATTCTTGATTTCTTTTGTATCGTTTTATGCACATGTCCCCAAAATTCAGTTTGCCGCATTTGGAATCAGAATCAGAATCTGATCATTGAAAACCTTGAAATTTAAAATAAATGCTAAATACTCTTGGCCCTGCCACATGTAGAATTGTGTGTAACATGTCAGTCTGGAAGAACTGAAGAAGAAAATCCACAATTATAACATATTTAGGGTATGTTGCACTTTACTGTGCATTTTTTGGCTTGTATTGTTTATTTGGAATACGAGTAATTAGACAAATACAGACACCACAACATCACACATTACACGAATATATTTCAAAAATGTTGAAAACTAGTTCTTGAATTCGTGTCATTGTTGAAAGTCAGAAAATTCACAAACACCTTAACACAAATTAATTAACACTAAACTTTTGCTACATGAGAGTGAAAGCTGAGCATGACGTGGAGATAGAAGCCTTGGGTTTGGTTCATTTTGATGAAGGATTCACTGTGGAAACAAAACTACAGGGACTTATAAAGGTGTCTTCACTGGCTTGTGATACTGGCTGCTTTTAATAGGCACAGTCTGAGTCGTGGAGATTATAGCTGCCTACAACTGGCTCATGGGATTTTGGGGGGGGGCTAATTTAGATGCAACCGGGGAAAATAGAGGAAGATAAAGATATAATTCAGAAGCTTGAGGGTTTAAATGGTTTCATTTGTTTATGCAGGCATACACGTGGACACGGACACACAAACATACTGTATAATAATACATGTGACCGCTGCAAGCCACACACTCCTCCTGGAGACTGTGGGGAAGATGTTTATTTTGGCCTGGGGAGCCGGGCAGCCAGTGGCTACTGCTGGGCCCCCTCATTCATCATCCCCATTATATCTCATAGCTGCAGGAGTGGAAGACATACAACCAAAAACACTGACATGTGCTGTATGTGGTCCAGTGAAGCAAACACACTCCAGTAAGCTTAAACTTTATTAAGCACTTATCTGACCCACACCTGGGATTCAATGTTGTTTGAAAGAGTGATGCAGCATATGACAGCTCACACTGGTCGGCTTTCTTTCAGTAGGGGTGTTTGACCTAACCCACAGGTCTTTAATTTTTGGCAGTGGGACTGGTAGGCGCTAGACAAGCCCTGTTAATCCTAATCCAATTGTACCAAGGAAATAGGACACAGTGGTCTAACCTAACCCTCAGAACATCTGGGTCTCATTTCATTATTATGCAGTGTATGACCAACCCCTCCTATTGTGGATTTTATGAGAGTGTGATGAGAATGTGATGTCTAAGAAGGCCCGTGAAGAGAGTTTTTGGTGAGAGCGCTCTGTTGCCACAGTGATTTTCTGATGCCAGATGTTGTAGGGGTCTTTAGCTTTGCTAGCAGCTGATGATCGACTTACATCATTGAGTGTCTGCTGGCTGTTTAGTACAGACAGGCAACATGTAGTAACACATGCTCATGAAGCAAATGAAAACAGGTTGACTCACACTCTACCTCTGGCTGTTTCCTCACACTTTTCATTTTTTATTTTTTTTGCTTTTCGCTCATACAGATGGTCGGTGCACTTTAAAGGTTTCTGCTGTCTTTTTCTTTGCTCCATCTTCTTCACACTTCTCTTTTTTCATGCTTCTACTACCAACCTGTCACCAACCTGTAAACCTCTGCCTTTCATCTCATCTCTCTTTCATGTTTGCCTTCTGTCTCCGTTCTGTC